TATATATATATATATATATATATTATGAGATAGAGATAAAACGGAATATAGAAATAATTAAGGAGAATAAATTAAACAAAAAAATATTCTATCCTATTTTCCTCTTGTCGGATAATACGAAGAAGAAGAAGAAGAAGAGAAGAAAAAGAGAAGAAAAAAGTTAGATGAATTTTCTTACGTAGAAAGAAGCCTTTCTCTTTCTTTAAAATATCACAAAGAAAATAAGATAGGAGTAAGATAAAAATATGGTGTGTGTGTGTGTGAGGATAAAGGTGGGTGGGAGGGTTATAGGGTAGAATAAAAAAAGCAATGCTGTGAAAGGAAATAAGAATCGAGCGAGTGTAACGGTGATGTGTAGTGGTAGTGTCATAGAGAGTGAGAGCAAGAGAAATAAAGAAAGAAAGAAAGAAAAAGGTATCGATATAAAGAGAAGAAGAAGAAGAAGAAGAAGAAGAAAGAAGAGGTAGAGAAAAAAAAGAAGAAAAATAAGCAAAAGAAGTAGAAACGGGAGGGGGTTGATATCGGAGGGGGTGAAGCTAGGGTCGGTTTTCCATCAGCGTGGAAAGGAGCTATGATGGCCACCACCCTCGCTTGCTTGCTCGCTTTTGAAGGTCAAGGTTTCACGCCCCTCTTCCATCGGAGTTACGTGCTAGCGAGTAGGGGTTTGTTAGAGGGGAAGAGGGTGGTAGTAGAAGGGGCTCGAGGGCGTATCGAGCAGAGTAGTAGTGCTGGTAACAGCAGCAGCATCACCACCAGAAGCATCAGCAGTAGTGGTAGTACCACCAGAGCTAGCAGCAGTAGCACCAGAAGAAGAAGCACCACCAGCAGCAGTACCAGTAGCACGAGCAACAACAACAGCAGCAGCAGAAAGATGTTCGTATTAGTGGTGTTGGTTGGTGGTGGTTCGTGGGTGGTTGGTCGTGGTTCGACCGATAGAAAGAGAGAGAGAGAGAAGGTTGAGAGGGGTAGAAAGTTACGTAGGTGGCGCCGGAGGGGTGCCGAGAGCCCGGTACCCAGTATTTATAGCGCTTGCAAACCGATCGATAACGAATAGCGACACTGCGCAGTTGAGAACCCTCGTACCAAAGTCACCCTCCCTTTCTATTCTATTCCTCAACCAGCTTTAACTCACCCCTTTAGATCTTCTTCCTCTTTCTCTTTCTTATCCTTATTCTTCTTCTTCTTCTTTGTACTCCTTTCGGATTTATTTTATTCTTATAGTTTAGTCGTGTTTTCTTTTTTTTTTTTTTTGATAATATTTGTATTCGTTCGATTATTTTGGGAGGTGGGTGTTGTTGTTTTTTCTTTCTTTTTTTTCTCTTTTTATTTTTAATTTAATTTTTTTAATTTTCCATTTATAAAAATATCAAATAATTATCCAGCTAAGCTGAGAACAACAACGTTTATTTTGGCCGTAAATATTTGTCGTTCCGCTCGAGCAAGCGAGACAGCCGAGATGTATCATTGGGATCGTCGAGGGTCCGAAGGTCGACATATCGATTTGCTTGAAATTTGAAGTACGAGGGTTTAACCCTTGCGGCGGGCCTGTGATCGAGTGTATACACGATGAATGGGATATGGTAGAAAGGTAAGGGCGACTACTACTCTCCCTTTACCTTCCTGAAGGTTTACTCAATTTAGAATTTTCATGATCGATTGATTTCTCTCTCTCTCTCTCTCTCTCTCTCTCTCTTTCATAATCATCATCATCGTCATCATTATCGTCGTCGATGATTATGATATCGTTTTATCTCAAATTCACACACACAAAAATATTCCTAATAAGATATAATTTGATTTATTCATTCATTTATTTGTTGTCATCGTTATCATACTTGTCTAATATTTGAAATCAAGAAAGTTGAGAATAACATTACAGAAAGATAATGGGTGGGAGGAGGGATGAAGGTGGGGGGCACGCCCGCATTATCAAAAACACCGGCCAGGAAGATTGTTCTCTCGCAAATGGGCATTGCGCGAGTGCGAATGACAATGGGTATAGAAAAATCGATAGCCGGTGCGTCCGTCGTAGGGTGGACGCATTATCGGTAACATGGTTCCTCGTAATTTTATCGCTAGTCTCTTTCCTTTATAACAAGGAATACTAAATGACATAACTTTTATCAAAGATATCCCCTCATGAGTGGATCATTCAAAAAAATGGATTTAAAATGAAATGAAATAGACAACTGTGCGTACTATAATACAATAGCAGATTAAATGGAAAAAAAGGAATAAGAATAAGAAGAAGAAGAAAATAATGGTAGTGTAGTGTAGTCCGGTTGTAAAAAGAGGGTTGTAAGATAAACGAAAATCGGCGTTCGGGCCGAAGATGTAAAGGGCACGTAGAGAAAGATAGGGAAAGGGTGGGAGAGAACGGTACAAGGTAAAGGACAGGCATATCGGTCAGATGAGAGAGAAAGAAAGAGAGAGAGAGAGAGAGAAGAAGAAGATATATGGTAGATGAGGTGGAAGGGGAAAGGACCGCCCCAAAGGGCGGGGGTAAGTGCATTGCCATCCCTTTCGCGTTACCGGGCCGTACTACTAGTGGGCATCCCCCTCCTTGATCTGTGCGCATGAGAAAGAGAGTGCACAAAAGAGGGCACAAAAACAAAGTCACTGGAGGAGAATAACAGAGAGAGACAGAAATAGAGAAAGAGAAAGAGTGAGAGAGAGAGAGAGAGAGAGAGAGAGAGAAAGAGAAAGGATTCAAGGAAAGTGAGGCGTTTGGGGTTGCTATTGGAGGGGAAGAAAACAAGGTATGGAAAGAGTGAGGGGTGGAAATAGAGAAGGGTAGATCCCGTGCGTTTCGTCGGAGAAGTCGAATCACCGGACGACCGTAAAGGTCGTAGGTGTTCTCTCTCTCTCTCCTCTCTCTCTTTGTTTCTCTCTCTCTCTCTTTCTCTCTCTCTCTCATTTGAGATATATATGTATATATATATATTTTTTTTTTCTTTTTGTATTACCATCTCGCTTCTCAGCGTCGGCACGTACTCCAATCGAGTAGAAGACAACCAACCAGCTGTCTGTTGGTGTCGTTAGTTGTGAACGATGACAGAAAACAGTTCTTAGAATTTATTTTTCCTCCATTTCTTCTTTTTTTTTTTTCTTTTTTTTACAACATGTTGAGTCACTTTTAATGACGATTATTATTATTATTATTATTATTATTACTATTATTATTATATTCTACGTGTAAGAATTAACGTGAATTGGGAGTTACATTTTTGAATACATGACAAGGGAATAGAGGGAGAGAGAGAGAGAGAGAGAGAGAGAGAGACTCGGCAGTGAAAAAGTTTATTCTCGTTTATCGTTGTCCCCCGTATGGAACGATGTTACGTGACGAAAAGTTGGTTATTTTTTTGGAAATTATTATTTTTTTTTTTTCGAGGAGGTGGAGAGAGAAAGAGAAAGAGAGAGAGAGAGAGAGAGAGAGAGGAAGAAAAATGGAGGATAACGAGGAAAGAGTGGTGCGGGCAATCGACCGACCGATGGAAAAATTTCGACGCGGTGGAAAAAGGTGTGCTATGTCAATGTCGCGGCGACTACTAGTACAAATTCCTATTCTTTTTGTTTTCTTTCTTTTCATTTTATTTTTTCGTTTTTTTTTTTTTTTTTTTTTTTTTTTTTTTCCTTTTTTCGATAATTATCGTCGAATAATATTGTTAATATTATTTCGGTGAACTTGAATTGAATTTGGAACGACGACTATCACTCGATCGATCGATTAGACANGTGTCTAATCGATCGATCGAGTGATAGTCGTCGTTCCAAATTCAATTCAAGTTCACCGAAATAATATTAACAATATTATTCGACGATAATTATCGTCGAATAATATTGTTAATATTATTTCGGTGAACTTGAATTGAATTTGGAACGACGACTATCACTCGATCGATCGATTAGACACGCCATATACCATATAAGTTTATATATGTATATACACTTGGACAGACCACTACAAGGATGCTAGCGTGAGTAAGTTTATATGGAAAGAATATTGTTGTACACGCGATTGAAATTATTCGAAAAAGGAAACAAAGAAATGAATGATTTTGCTTTTTCCATTTTCATGTATAATAATCTATATAATACAATATTTTCGTTTAAATCTAGTAGTAATAAGTAGTTACTATATTTGATAGTATTATTTAAAAACAAAAAAAATAGGTTCGAACGGTTTCCTATTATGGCACGTAACGTTAGTTGTATTAGATATCAAAGGTCAATTCGTCTCGTGAATTCTTTTTATGAGGATACAATCTATTATTAGTATCATGATATATATATATTTAAATTATGAATTGACTATGAAACAGTTATATTATACGAAATCATCATTTTCTAATTGTACGTTGTATCATACATAAGATACGTTCCTAATCAATGATTTTTAAAAAAGCATGTTAACTATCGGGAGTTCATACTTTATAAATATAACGTAGTCTATTAAAAATAGAAATTACCGGTAGTTCAACGCGTCGAGCTTTTTTCTGTGGGTGTGTGTCTTTTCTTCCTTCTTTTTCTTTTTAAGAAGAAAAGAGAAAATAAGCTTCCTCGTATTTCTGACTGTAGTTTTATCAAACGAAGAGTTTTTCTTTTTAAAGGGTTTTTCTTTTTCACTTGATAGCTTTATTGATTTTTTTCCCACTCCGATTACGGATTAATTACTTTTTTTAATATCGTATTTATTAAAATTATTATTTTTATTATTGTTATTATTAATGAATATTATAGCTGGAGATTAAGAGGATTTGATATATATTATATTACACAATATTACGCGTTAGAATTTTTTGTTGTTTGTCAAATACTTTATCTTCGTTCGTCGTTTGTGGAGATATTTTTTTCTATTATCTCCTTTTCATTTCTAATAGAACACGATACGCAAAAGATTTTCATTTCAGACCAATATATCATTCATCGTGGCAGGATGATGAAACGATGTTGCATCTTGAAATTCGTGTTGTATAATTATATAGCTTGATAAAAAAAAAACAAAAATCTAATGGCAAATCTTTGACGATATATTCATCGATTTTGAGAGAGATCGAAAATTTTGTCACCTTCCATTTTCTTCTTTTTTAACATTGACGATTACGAATATTGCAATGTACACAATTAACAACAATTGTTACCCCTTTGTCGTCTCGTTGGAATCATTATAGGTTGAAAGATTAATCGTAATCATTATCACATGAAAACGACAATGTACAAGAGAGAGAAAGTATGGAAGAGAAGGAAATTGCAGTTGGGGAAGGGAGAGGGCTATGAAACTAATGAATTACGATGGTATTATCGCGTAATCCATCGATTTACGAGTGAGCGTGAATTTATGGACAAAATATTCGCCGCGTAACGTTTTCTTGCAATCAAATATTTATCTATTTTTCTTTTTTCTTTTTTCTTTTTATTCTTTCTTTCTTTCACTATTGATATGAAAATGTAAGAATAAGGAAGGAAAAATATATAAAGAAAGAAGGATGACTCTGTTATTTTTTTTTTCAATAAATTTACCACCCTAACCAATAAACTTTCAAGGATAAAAAAGATCAATCTACTTTCATCATCATCATCATCATCATCATCATCATCATCATTATTATTATTATTATGTTATGTAAAGAAATTTATTGAAAAAAGTATAAACATCGTTTAATACAGATCAAATCGATTCGATACAAGTTTCGACCCTTTTTACTCCCACACGATAAGTTTATTTTTAGACACCTAGTATATTATATTTTATCCTAACTATTCTCCTCTTCTTTTTCTTCGTCTTCTTTGTCGTCGTCATCTTCCTCGTATTGTATTTTGATACCAAGAATACGACGTGTTTACTTGCCGTGTTTACTGACTTTCCTTGCAATTTTCTTTCTCTCTCTTTCCTTTTTGTTCTATCTCACTCACTCGCTCATCATTTATATTATACTACGTCCCTCGAAGTTGAGTCATTCTCAAGATACGTGTCGCCGCTCGAGTTCATCTCGCGTGCTATTATCACGCGTCGTAGTTTTTATTATTATTATTATTAATAATAATAATAGTAATATAATATTCTTTTTGGAATATTGTAAAATGA